ATCTATATCCCGTCTATCTGGTCAGTTATGACCACTCTAGGCGGCTTACAACGTAAATAAAATACACATAAAATACACAATTTTTGTGTTTCTTAATATGCTTAGACACTTTAAAAAACAACTTCAAATATATTCTTTCTTTTAGGGACTTCGATATTTTAAGATAACGTATTCCCAGCTTCTTAAATGTGCCTTTTAAGGCTATAAACTCTTGAATTTTTAGAATGCAATTGAAACATTCTCATTATTATTTTTACTCTTAAAATATATTTCTACTTATTTTGGACTGAATTCTGGCTTCAGTATTTGCCTGCAACTTAAGTTTAAATTTCATGTATTTTTTAAGCATTTATGCCTACAATTTTTCAAAGCTGTAAGACACTTGAATGTTTCAAACTCTGAAGTATTTTGGTACTTATGGGAAATAGAAGCAATGTAGATAAATAAAGCTTGTAAATTTAGACAAACTGATGTCACCTGCACTTATTAGACATGTACCATAATGAATTTTGATGTGATTGGAAACGATTGTCTGATTTCATTCTGGAATTTAACTGGGATAAATGCATGCTGTGGCAAACACGGGCTTTTGATTTTTCCCTCCAGGTCTATAAAGTTCTGTAGGACTGTTAGGGAGAGGTTCAGGCGTCAGATTACAGATGCAGTAAATGGACAGAATAAATTTATGATTGATTAGATGCAAAACTGAACTAGTTCATCCCTCTCTAAACATAATGGCAAGGGAAGTTATATTTGGAATTTAAAAGAAAAAAAAGCCAATGTAAAGAGGAAACAACAGTTTGAAAATCAGATGATGGTGAAGGGAGGTTGAAATCTGTAGTCTGTAAGAATCATTAGAAGTTACTGCTAAGTGCCAAGGACAACTTATGTACTGAAAAAGGGGAGTAGCCTTAACCCAAAACATTGGGGAAGTGTTCCCCCACATCACATGACATCTATGCTATAGCTCATTTATAGCATGCATTTAGCATCCATTAAGAAAAACACATTTTGCAGGAGCACAAAAAAAGTTACCTCTTCTGTTGGCCAATTGAGGTTTAGCACCAGTGTTGATTAAATACTGTACGGTGTCCAGCCGACAACTCTCAATTCCTCTCATTAATGGAGTTCCATCATTGATTGAAGCAGCATCTACTGTTGCTCCAGAATTAATGAGCAGTTCAGCAATATCCTGCTGACCTGCATGGCAGGCATGGTGGAGAGGTGTCCACATGAAATTATCCGTTGCATTCACACTAGCCCTGATGGAAAAGAATCAGTAGTGTAAGAAGCACGCTGTTCTGAATTCTCTGTCAGCCTCTATTTATGTGTTAACAAAAATACTGGTTGCTTGAAAATTAATTTTCTTCATTTGATGAGCTACTGACTGAAATCCTGTCACCAAGTCAAACGTGCATAACTTGTCTGGTGTCATCAGCCCTGGCCATTTTGCAGCCATTTTGCAGGTATCAACACCTTATTCTCCCCTACCCAGTTCTGGGGCCCTCTAGGGCTCCCCTTCAATCTGGGGAAGCCTTTGGGAGCCACAGAATGGGGAACAGAACTCTTTAATGACAGGAAATCACCAGCTACAACTCCCAGAAGCTCCTAGCCAACATTTTCCAAGTGAGAAGAATAAAGCTTATTCATAAAGTGGTTCCTGTAAGTTTGTTTAGCTTTAACAAGCGGACAGTTGTTCCCCTGCAAGTACCAATGCTGAGCTATTTGCAATTCTGATTAATTCCAACAAAATCTTGGAATAATCTTTTATCAATTAGCATGCAAAGCAGAAGATGTCTCAATTAAGAATTACAAATGCCATAGAATAACATTTCAGTCTTCTCCCCTACAGATGGAAAGCCTGAGAATGTAGATCAGCATAAAAATGCTCACCATTTATTCATCCATTTATTCACCATGTATTCTTTCTAATAAGAAATAAGTCCAGCTGCCTTGACTCAGCTTCCAGATAACCTCACCAGGATGACTGAGAATCTTCACAGATTTATTCAGCCATACATTTAGAAATCTGCTTTCCGGGTATCCCTTACCTTACAGGTTCCTCCCTCAGTAGTCCCTTTTTATTGATTTAAATAAGCAAGAATATTTTCTCTGGGATGAAGAATTCTGCTATATACATTCTTTGGAAATAAACAGATGAAACACATAAGAATTTAGTGGTGCAATGACTGGCTGGCAATATACTGCTCATGCAACAGCTCTTTCTGCTGTGGCAGCTAAGACATTATGTTCCATTTTCATCAGAGAATTTAATAGCTCTAATATGCAAATCCTGAGGTCATCTTTTCTTCTTTTTTGGAACACAGATTATGGCGGTGTAATCAAATGGTCTGAAGGGCTTTTGACCAAACCACTTATTATCCTTTGTTGTATTAGTGAGTGGTGAAAATAAGTGGCGTTGCTCAATTTAAAACTCATTTGTTCCATCCTGACCTTACTGTTCTTTCTCTCCTCGTCTCTTACCAAAGTCTTTTTTTCTTTTGCTGTGTTTTCTTTCTCGGTCCTGGCACTTGTTCACATTGTACTGTACCAGCTTCACCCAGGTTAGACCATTGGCCTCCTCATCCACGTGCTTCTCATCCAATCTTCTTGTCCACTCTATGTTTTCTGCTCTCCACCTTGATATTCCTTCTGTTTTTCCCTTTCCTCCCTCTTCTTTGCATCCCAGATAGAAACAGGGAGTTTCTATCACTGGGAGTTTCTATCACACCTTCTTTCTTGGGGTTGCCATATTCTGCTTCCTAAAATCCAGACCGCAAGATTTGCAAACTCCTTCACCCTCTTGACAGTTCATGCTACAGCTCTTTCTGCTGTGGCAGCTAAGACAATTATGTTCCATTTTCTCAGAAAATCACTCTAATATATATTTCATGGATCTATCCATGAAAGCTCACCTCAAAATATGGCAATTGGCCTTCAGGGCACCACAACATTTCTGTCTCTTGTTTTCTGACTGATACATTTACATACTGTGACACTTATTTGTTCATTATTCAAATCATGTCCATTATAAAAGAGTTGACCACCACACATATTATAATTCGCACACAAACACTGCTAAGTTCCCCCTCAGAAGCAGCCCTTTCAAAGTTCATGTATAGACAGGAAACAAAAAGTAGTGTTTTCTTTGATTCTTTGCACAAAATGAAGGGGAACAGAACCTAAAATCTTTTCGTGTTCAATCCCCATGACCTATTTTCTTTTCGATCTTCTTACTCTCTTTTCTCATCCCAGTGCTCTTATATCTTGCAGCTATTCAGCCAGTATAAATTAGCCAGAAATGAGGATTCTGCAAAGTCTGGGACCCTGCTTGAAACATTTAAAATTCTTTAACTAAACTTGTTTTAAGCCTCATGTTCATATACTATCTGCAAAACAGGAATAATATTATAATTGACTTCATTCCATTTTAGGGTTGCTGTAATTACTACTGAATTGATGTGGGAAAAGTGATTTGTATGTCTGAAAAACACTTTCAAAAAGTTTGTTGTTGTTACTGCTACTGCTGCTGCTGCTACTATTGCAAATACACACCTTACTTCCCAGTGTAGCTTGACCCAAAGATCTAGCCAATGCTTCCCTCAGTTTCATCCAGTCCAATTTAAGCCATGGCTTCAACTGTTGCTTATCAGCATGATTATTCAGGAGGTAATTGGGCTGTTGTCCTTGCAATGACACTTCCAGCCATGTGTCTCTGCACTGTGAAAACTTTCATTAATAAAGTGTGCTGCTTATATACTGCCTTGTAGCACTTAAAGCACTCTCTGAGTGGCTTAGAATTTAATTATGCAGGTTACACATTGCCCCACCCCAATAAGCTGGGCACTCAAATTACCGACTTTGGAAGAATGGAAGGTTGAGTCAACCTTGAGCCGACCGCCTGAACCCATTGGGGTCAAACTCAGGTTGGGAGCAGAGTTTAACCACTGCATCATGAGGTTCCCGGCCATCTTGGGCAATTCTGGGGGTTTAATCCAAAGGAAAGGAAAGGAAACAAAAATAAAATAAAAACTCGAGGACAGCCTCACGATAGAAACTCTCTACATAATCCAGAACTCTTATTTTCCAGGGTTCTAGACTATATTAACAACTTCCATGTGTAGAGGCATTCCTCTTCTTCAGATTCTCACTTTCTGCATACAGAGAGTTAGGGAACGATAGGATGAACACACACTCCCTCTCTTTGAGTATGTACTGTGCTTAGAGAAGGCCTAAACAGAACTACATTTACTGGCTAAAGGATATCCAGTGAGCTCTATGGCTGAATGATAACCTGAGTGTAGATCTGCCTATAGAGAGGTTATCATTCAGCTACATGTACCTACCCCACTATTTTAACTACATATTATGCTACATTTCCTGACTCCCCTGGTAGACTATTTCATTGGTACAACCAAATTGCTTGCCCTCTTGATCTTCAAATAGCTTCCCAGATCAAATCTGCTATTTCCCCTGGTGGCTTTCTCATTTGAAAACTTGGAGAAGAACCATGGGAGACTGTAGCACATGTCTGACATATCATAGGCACTCTGACCCTCTATGTACACAGATTTACTGGTTTTTGGTTTTGTTCTGCAAACTAAGTACCTTGTGAGATAAGTTAGACTGAGATGTGATGTGCGTCACACCTCCATCCACACCCTTTACCCGTAACCAAATGTGAAATCCGCACTGCCTTGCATAGCCTATGAAGTCCAGAACCCACAGAAATTCTGAAAATACATGCTAGTTGAGCACATGGTAACATCTTTCATTGAAATACATCCTATTAGCCAGAGGTGGATGGGAAGCAGATCATTCTAGTACTAGTAAATTTCTGGTTGATCAGAAGTGAAAAAGCAAGAACTTCTAAAAATTAAACTGGATGCTACGGTGAATGTGTATTTCCTGCAATTAGCCCATTTTTCCTCTAGTGATACTATTGCCTCAAAGATGCAAGTAATCAGATTTGCAAATTAAGTTCGTGTTTGCCTTCCAGTACTTAATCATAAAACAAAGCACATATATGTGGGTGATGAAAATCACATGGTCTGATAATCAGGTGTCTTTATCCACTTGAGGAAGCATTTATCCTAAACTATGCTGAGTGCATAGTTTCATTTGACCCTTCCAAATACGAATGACAAATTGAGTCCAAAATGACAAGTGCTTAGAAGAAACTGATCACAAACAATAGAATACATATAATTTGTAACTTTCTTCCAAGTAACTGAGACATAACAAAATGGCACTATGGCTAAAATCCTGTTGCTTAATGTAACAGGAGGAGGCCCACTGAATTAGTGGAGATTTGGTGAGTCAACTCCTCCATAAATTTCATGGGACTACCCTAGTTTGACTTAACAATACTAACATCACAAATAAAAAAGTTCCATTTGATTCAATAGAACTTACGGAAAAGTCACGGAATCCCCACTCATCAATGGCCCCACTCTAGTGCAACATCCTACCCTAAGCAACAGGATTTCAGCCTGTTTGTGATGAAAGAAGGGAGAATTCCTTTCACTTTCTGATGTAACTATAACGAGCCACATTGAAATTACTTTTTTTTAATTACAGACACATGGCCTCACTACTTATATGGTTTTGTACCATTGGCCCTTAAAAGAACTTCCCAAACTCAACAGTAAGTGTGGAAGGACTGTGTGCTTTGTTTAGATGGGACACAAAACACATTTCTGGGCTCCCAATTCTCTGATGCTGGGTGCACACCATCTTCCCTGACTCTGCTTGGTGGTCCTTGGGTTTCCACATGAAGGCCCACAAGGCCATGCCCAGTACATACCCTTTTTCCAGAAGGAATTTCACTGCCTCTATGTTGCCACTGGCGCAGGCAGCCATCAAGGGAGTCTTGTAGAAATTGTCCCTCATGTCCACTGGCACCCCGGACTCAAAGGCTTTTTTCAGGGAGGAAAGGTCTCCATCTTTCGTAAGGTAATTGATGTTTGAAAAGTTCTTCATAGGGTCGTCAATGTACCACCAAGAATCATCTTGAATGGGATGCTCGGGCGGGTGATCCCGGTTGAACCGATTACAGTCGGTCACGTTCTGATAGGTTTCGATCATGTACTCTGGTGGCCCGCCATCCGGGTGACGCGGGCGCGAGCTGTCAGGGATGACGCAGATGGGCATGGGGATGGCAAATTTCCCTTTCTTGCCCTTCCCTTTCTTGCCCTTCTTTTTCTTGGGACCATAAGATGAAAGGAGAAAAGGTTTCTGCAAGTACCGTTTCCCTGTGAGGAACTCTTCAGGGTTGACCCCTCCGGCCCGTGTCTTCTCGTGGGCCTGGGCAATCGTTTGTATTTGCTCAGCTTCCACGAATGGACACTTCTCCTCAATGATGGAGACAAAGTCTTCTCTGCTGACAGTCCCGTCACCTCGGTCCACTGCCCCAAATAAATCATGAAGACTCTCCTGATGCTCTACGGACCAATCATGCAACCTCACCGCCCAGGGTGGGTTGGGGTTCTTCACACCAGGTTTGGGTTTTAAAAATTTGGCATAGCGGCGCTCAATTTTACGGATCTCCTTGACAGATGCTTTGGAGCCACTGTCTTTAGCCACCTGTCTTGCTGTCTTCTTCTCAAGATTCTTCCATATGGGATTACAGCCTAAAAAACAGAAGGAAAAAAATCATGGGGGGGGGCCACGGGAGGACAGCTTGCAAAAATGCACAAAGGCCTGAAGATCAAGACCAAAGGCTGATTTCATAACCCTCAAGATTCCTTTAGAAACATAAAACGTTGAATATTAATATTCAACTGCTTTAAGCCAAGGGCATACATATCACACAGTATTCTAAGCACATAAAACAGTGTCTCTAGCAGGAAAGCTGGAATAGTCAGCCAGCACTCTAAACACTCCATTAGCCATGTCAGAGCACAGCAGAACACTGGGAATAGAACTGAATTCTGGACAAAACAATACTGTTACTGGATTGCTAACATATTACAAACATGGGATGCTTTTAAGTTCTCCAGACCTCTCCTTCTGTGCAAAGTTTGGGGGGCTGGGAATGAAGGACAATGTTCAAAAATGCAGCCATTGTCTTGTGCTGGCAGTTTGACTAGCAGAACAGTGCCAATACTTGTGGTTTTCCTGCAGCATCTCAACCATAGTCAGCATCCTTTCATGTGGCTGCCACAAGTGTGGATGGCAGAGATACAGGCCAGCCCGCATATAGGCAGGAAGGGAACAGGCCAGCATGACTGCAAGACAATCTTCATGCATGCTTTCAGTGAATGAGTGGGGATCCTGTGACTCTCCCTTTATATCTATGGAGGATCTTCAAGTCTATGAAGATGTGAAAGCATTTTCTTTTCGTTTGAGCAGCATCCTTTCTTGACCACTGCATCAGGTTATGAACCCCTTCCCCCACATAGATTCCCAGTAAGAAAAGTAGTGGAGCTGCAACCACCTTTACTTTACCTCTTTGACCAATGAACCGGCAACATTCTGCAAAACCTCCAGCGGCAGCGTAATGAAGTGGTGTGTTTCCGTTCATTGCTATCAGGCCTACATCTCCGTTATAGGCAGAAATAAGCTTCAAGATCTAAGGAGGCAAAGTCAAGGCCATGGGATTTAGAAGGAGACACAGGTATGTGCAGCGACCTCCGCCAGATTTATTTCCTGTCTTATTCTGCAATAGATGTTATGTCAATGGCAACATGCTGCTATTATGTTAAGCCAAATACAGTGGCCCCTGGAGTAGGTGAACCCCACCTGATCAGTAGAGACAAAAGGACAGTATTTTGACCCTTTAGGACAGCTTTCCCAAACTGGCACCATCTGACATATCTATGACTTTCATCATCCCCAGCAAGCAATGACCTTCCCATGGCTGAGGATGATGGGAGCTGTAGTCCAAAACATTTGGAAGCACGCCAGTTTGGGAAAGGATGTCCTAAGGGGGGAAATTGCCTTAAGGGAACACACATACATAGAGTATGAGTTTAACAACAGCAACAAAGGAAAGGGTTTGACGAAGACAACAGCTTTGTTGGAATGTAAATACTAGGCATACACTAGTTAAAGTCTAGTTGCTTAGCATAATAAGTCACCACTAGAGTTAGGAGCCTCATGGCATACTGGATAAACTGTAGTACTGCAGCCAAGACTCTGCTCATGACCTCAGGTAGCCAACACAAGGTCCACTCAACCTTCCATCCTTCTGAGATCAGTAAACTGAGTACCAAGCTTGCTGGGGTGGGGGCAATGTGCAGCCTGCATAATTAAAAATTGCAAACCATTCAGAGTGTGTTTTAAGTGCTATGGGGAGACATATAAGCAGAACATATTTTTAGAGCAGACCCATTTGAATTAATGGAATTTATAGAAGAACTGCCTAACCAAAGCCTACGTGATTCAATGGGCCTGCTGTAGTGCAACTTACTACGGTAAGCAATAAAATTTCAACCACTGTGCCGCAATGTAAATCTCCTTCCCACCCCCCACGCACACCTGAAATTGCTCCCTGCCTTAGGGCCGAAGATTTGGGGATGGGAGGTGATTATTTTTCTCGGGGCCCCAGAAAGGAAAACCCACTTAACCCACTCCATTAGGATTGCAGTTCCAAGCTATATCTGAAGGACAATGCTGTTGCTTAGAATACTTGCAATTTTACAAAAGTTAACATAACATGTAATTTATCCCTAACAGACCGTTTTGACAGCTATCTTGCCAGCATCAAAATCATTCTCATTTGAACTATCTCCTCACTGCTTTTAAATCTTCAAGGGCTTCCACCTTCTTCCACATTAGAGATGGGCAAGAACCACTAATTTGGAGGTTCGTTTAGCATCCAAACAGGTGTTTGGCACTTCAAAGCCCCACCTCTTCTGGCCAGCGCCCACTCGGTGGTACCACCCAGAGCAGGCGGGGCAGAGAAGCCAGGCACCTCCCTATGAGCCACTAGATTCATATCTAAGAATGGATCATAGTCTTTTGTGTTTATTTTCAAGTGGAATGTATACCTTTCTTCCTCCCACACCCCAGTTTCCACATAGTCTTTGCATAAGAAACAGTGTTTAGCCTCTGCCTGGCAACTGCATTAGGACTACAGTACCTGCATAGATCAGTTCTAGAGATAGAGCACAGACTGTGATCATTGGATCATGCTGGATTGTCATACTGGCACTGCAGGTGCTATGCAATACCATTTCCCACCCACCCCAGCCAGATTCCCCCACTCACCAGCCGGCGTGCTTTTTGTTCCTCCTCCTCTTTGGCTGCTTCCCCAGTTGTGGAACACAAACTTCCCTTCTCTGCCTCCTCCAGCAACTGCCCACTTAAAGGCAGAGCTGCAGCAATCCCTGCCCTACCTCCTTATCTGAGTGGGTAGCTGCTGGAGGAGACGGAGAAGGGAAGCCTGTGCCCCTGCTGCAACTAGTGAAATGAGTGAGGAGGAGAAGGAGCAGAGTGTGCGCCAGCTGGTAAGTGGAGGAATCCAGCCAAGGGTGGGGGGAGGCAGAACCACATGGCACCTGTGGGGCCAGTAGAATGATCCAGCATGATCTGACAATCCAGATTCATGCCCATCTCTAATCAGTTCCAAATCCTTCTCCTCATGAACACCAAACACTGTGAATAGATCTGACAATCCAGATTCATGCCCATCTCCAATCAGTTCCAAGTCCTTCTCCCCACGAATGCCAAACACTGAATTACCCTATATATAGCATAGTCTTTGGTGCCAATTCTGGTAATTACATCATGGGAATACATATTTTTGGGTTTTTTAATTTAATATTTCTAATATTTTCAGACTGTCAATAAGGAAAACTGTGGATACTGACGCCATGGATGTGGGGAGTGTGTGTCCTATTGTATCTTTTGACTTGGTTTTCTTTTATTTAGCAGAAAGCTTTCCCTAATTTTGTTTCATGTCACCAACCCCCTGATCGAAATTCTGTTAAAACATGCCTAAATTTGTTGCCATGCAAGATTATTTAGTTATGTTATTTAGTAACTTCCCACCCGCTGCTAAATTCGGGTAGGATATTGGATGAATTATTAGATTATGCCACAAATGCATGTACAATAATCATGCTTATTTATTTATTTTTAATTGTAATTACTATCTATCATCCTGCCTCTCCTCCAGTGAGCTCCTCATGACATGCATGGGTCTCTTCCACCCCACCTGAGAGTCACAACAAGGATGTGAGGTGGGTCAGACAGAAGGAAGGAGTGACTAGTCACCCAGTGAGTTGCAGTGGGTGAGTCACCCAGTGAGTCTTTCAAAATGAAAATGGCCAATTAAAAAAAAATTTTTAAAAAAAAGAAGAAGAAAAAGAACGCACATTTAGCATATTATTTTCTCTCAGAGAAGTCCACTTTGGAACCTTCCTGGCACAGCATCTGCGCCATGGAACTGAAGCAAAGAAGATCAGGCTGGAGGATTTCCTAACGAAAGAGCTTCGCCGTAGGGTGCAAGCACCAGATCAGCTCCATTCTGATCCATTATTTGCTGGACAGCTCAGTGACTTGGGCATCTGGATGCAGAGCCAGAGACTGGGAGCTCAGTTCTCCACTCTGCCTTCTTACAGGGGCTGGACTTAATGATCCATAGGTTCCCTTCCAGCTCTGCAATTCTACGATGGTGATGTTGATTAGTACTAAATAATAATTATAATGCTCTCTCTGACCAAAATAGGGGCATACAGTAGATACGATGAGAGATGTGGGATTATTGTTGATAATGGCAACCTGGCAACATGTTCACCTGCTCACTGATTTTAGTTATGGAAAGACATAGAATAATGAGACCTCAACACATTGTGCATTGAGTCATTACCACAGCTCCTCCAACAGACTCTCCACTGTGCATACCGGGAGAAGATCCAGCCTGTGTAGTCATGGGCAAGCTACACAGTCCCAGGGGAACTCCCAGAAGGAGGGAATGATAAACCGCTTATGAGTACTCAGAAAGGTTACCACAAGTCAGAATTGATTTGACAGGACCTTATTCTTATTCTAATTGTGCTTCCACATTGTAACTTTTGGCTATTTTTATAGGCACCTGCTATGATCTCTGCTTTTATCTGAACACTGGAAAGTGTTGCCATAAGTCCGAATCAACTTGACGGGGGGAACATCATCCTCGTTATCAATCTGTGTACACATAATGTAGAAAAGTCATTCTTCCTGGAATCCCTCCACTAATAAAGGCTGATCATTAGTAATTAACCAAGAGAGTTAATTACTTGGCTGGATACCTTTGTTTCTGACACCACCAACAAAGAATACCTCAAAAAACCCTCCTTTGGCAGCAAAATGAGCAGCATGGTGTCTCTCATGGTCAAAAACATTCACATCTCCTCCTCTCTCAAGGATACCACGGACTATTTCCAAAACTCCTTCCCTGGCTGCTTCCATCAAGGCTGTGCGGCCCGTTGCCTGTGAAGGAGAGAGAGAGAGAAAAAATGCATCTACATCTTCCTATTTATGATTCCTTCTTATTTATTATGTCTTTCCTCTGAGAAATGCATAGATGTGACTCCCTCCCACTCTGTCTTTATCCCTCTCTGGCAAAGACCCAGGTTAAGAGTCAGTCAGTTGGATTTGAACCTGCATCTCTTGGGGCCTCACTGCACATATCTAGGAAGTGCTGACTCAAATGGCAAAGAAGGCACAAAGATGCAGATACACACACACACACAAATTAAGACATTAAAAAAGAAATATTTAAGAGGACAGGCATTTGTGTTTTGTGGATTAGCTCTGGCTTCCTTTGCATGTCTAATTCCAGAGATGCCCATAACAAAGAAAATCATATTAGTGGGGGTAAAATGTTGTAAGATAAGAAAAATGCATTTCTCAGGCGATGTGCTTTATCCTCTAGTCTGTCACTCTAACCATTATACCATAATGACATATTGGCTATGATATATATATATATCTGGTTATGTATATTAATCATACTGTAGAAAGAGAGGAAAGCACATCATTTAAATTTTTTATCAAAGAACTAAAAGCAGGCTCAGGCTTGTTGAGGAAAAGTATCCCTCTATTCTCCTCCTGTTCATATTCTAAAAAGTGGCAATATATTTATGCATTATACCTGTATTTTTCCAGTGTCAAGCAACAGACTAAGTTCTCAGACAACTGTATATATCATTCATTACCCTTTTACTATGGCTTTGTTAAGAACACAAGTCACTCGTAGCAGGGAGATTCATAGACACAGCCCTTCTCACACCATTATCTATGGTTAAAAGAAGTCCAGAAATCTACCTCATCCTTCCCCATGTGATTATGAATCTGTAGAAATTACCATTTCACTCTGTGAATTTCACCTGCTATTTCCCTCAGTATCATGTGAAGGATCACTTCAGGTGTCATGAATGAAAGATTATTATTGGAGCCCTCAATCCATCAGTGGCACGTGGACAAACGCAAAAACAGAACATCTGAAGGAAAGAGTATTCTGTTTTCATTTCTAGATGATGCATATCTAGATGATGAAATAATACTCTTTCTAGCGCACACTGTCTCAGATGAGGCATCCCATTCCTTTCTGAAGGTGAGAGAAAGGGGATGGGGGTTGCTCTTCTGACACCTATAATTTTGCCATCTGCAGAAATACTTGCATTAAATACAGTATGTATGTATAGATGTACATGTGTATGTGTATGTGTATGTGTATGTGTATGTGTATGTGTACATACATACATACATACATACATACATACATACATACATACATACACTGTATTTAATGCTTTCTGTATAAATCTGCTACTGTATAAATCTGCTTTCTAATTAAACTATAAAACCTTATTGTATATCTATTTTTTTAATCATCTATTTTTTTAAAATCATTGACTGAACTAGGTAATTGTTGCAGCCAGTCCTAATTATTATGGGCTAAATCCAGCTGTTAATCCCAACTAGAAATAATAGGATTGACCTATGTTTAGGCTGAACAAATTCCAATTATTCAATGGGCTGACTTGAATAATTATCATCTGCTGTCATGTTGGTTCAGATTTCCAATGGTTTCTGCCCTAGTTAGTTCTGTGGTTGTACCTCTAGTGTCCTAACTTCTCTTCTTTGAATGGTAGAAAAAAATCTTACTGGGTTTGTTGCATTCGGGTTGGCTCCTCTTTCCAAGAATGTCATACACATCTCTTTGATTTCGTGGGCTTGCTCACAAGCTTGCACAAAGACAGGCTTCCCTTCAAGAGTGCAGTTGTTAACATCTGCTCCAAATTCTAGGACAATCTGGACACAGCGGTAGTGCCGCTTGGTGGGCAAAATGCAGTAGAACAGCACACCTGTTCAAGAACAGTGGCATCAAATAGTTTAGCAAGTGAGCCCCCAACAGAAATACCAACTATGAAAGACTAAATAATAAAACCTGAGCTTTTGTTACAACTAAAAATATTGTATTGTACAATTGATTTCCCCCCCCTTTTCTGCAAAACAAGATGGAATGTGTGGTTCTTCCTTACCTTTTCCTTCTGCGTCCACAATGGTCATGTCTGCCTCTGCCTGGACCAATACATCCAGGGCTAAGTCGTGGCCAAGCTCAGCTGCTTTCATCACTGGCGTACGCCCCATTCGATCCTGGACATCAGGGTGAGCACCAAGCTCTAACAGAAAATTGCACATGTCAATGTCATTAGCCACACAAGCCAAGTGAAGGGCACTGTCTCCATTGATGGGTTCAGTGAAATTGATGAGTTCAGGGTATCCCAGTTTGGTGAGCTTTTCGATCTGCTTCTTGTCCTTCTGACGAACACACTGGAGAACTTTGTAGATCTGAAGGTTTTCAAGCCTCTTGTCCGCCAAAGCCATTTTCATTCAATTGAAGAAAATATCTTCCCAGAATGATAGATTCTGGATAAAAGGCCAAAAGAGATTCTGGATAAAAGGCAAAAAGAGAAAAGCATCAAGTCTTCTTCAGAAATAGACCCTATCCAGAGAAACTGCACTTTGGCTGTTTTTGTTCCCTGTTGTTGCTCACCCTTGTACTGTCAAGGTATGAAATGCATAGAGTGTCGAAATAATTAACGGGTGATGTAGAAAACAATCCTGAAAACACACCTTGTGCTTTAAAAATGAGGTTTGAACAGCAGTTTACTAAAAGTCACTGTGAAATAAACAGCCAGATCTCCAACCAAGTCTGGAAGCACAATAACATTGGCTTGCAAAAGAATCTCTTTCACGACTGATAGTCAGATGTGTAAACAAATGATAATACAAAACAGTGACGGGAAAAACTCCTGGAGTCCTGAAGTGTGGCAAAAGCACCTGACCAGCTTCATCCACCTGCACTTTACACCCATAGCATTTTCCCTACCCAGTAAAATGGTACCCAAGCAACTTTCTATTTCTGCAGCTGCAGGAACCCATTTATTCAAAATCAGGCTATAATAGCAACTTGCTAGCCTTGTAAGTTATGAGTCATATTTGCCACTCCAGTAAAAGTGAGATTTCCACTGAATCGGTAACTTCAGTAACTTACTACACCAGCAAAATTCAGTTGTTTAGAGTTGAAGGGAAATGCAAATAACTGAGAGAAATATAAATACAGGGAAGCAAAGGGACACACAAGAAGACACCACACCACACAAACCAGATAGCAACAATACTAATATTAAAGACCTGACATTAAAGAGCAGCAGGCATGTTGCAACACAGCAGCAGGCTTTACTTCCAAAAGCCAGTAACACAAACATCATGGATTTCCTTCTATAAATGCAGACTGGCACATGGCCAGCTTGGCTGGGTGAGAACATTATTTAATAGTTCTAATATGCTTAAAAGCTAAGAGGTGCATTTTGCTGTATATACCATATATCCTTAAAGAACTTTGATATTTTAAGAAAGTATTCTGTGCTTTCCAATGTGACCTTTAAGGCTATTAGAGTCTGCCTTTTTAGAATGTATACTCTTGCAATTTTGAAACATAATTACAACATGATTTAAGTTCTGCCTACAACTTAAATTTTGTTTTGTTGGCAACTTCTCATAGCTGTAAGAATTTGGAATGGAAATCATACCTGCAGCTTTTCACAAGCTGCAAAGATGGATTTCTATGTAAGCATTTGTGCCTACAGGTTTTTTCACAGCTGTAAGACTTTTGGATGTTGTCAACAACTTTGAAGTATTCTTCTGCAGATGGAACACAGAAGCAATGTTGATAATAAAGCATGTAGAAACAGACAAGTTGATATTGCCAGGCGCAGTGGTTAAAATGCTGTATTGCAGCTAAAACTGTGCTCACGACCTGGGGTTCAAATCCCAGGTAGCCGGCTCAAGGTTGACTCAGCCTTCCATCCTTCCGAGGTCGGTAAAATGAGTACCCAGCTTGCTGGGGGGGGGGGTCAATGTGTAGCCTGTATAATTAAAATTGTAAACCGCCCAGAAAGTGCTTGAAGTGCTATGGGGCAGTATATAAGTCCAAAAAAAAAATTACTGAAACAATGAAGCAACCTTTACCTTGATACCCAGATGAATTGTGATGAGATTGGGACTGGTTATCTGATTTCATACTGGAATTAACCCTTTTTGGGAGAAATGCCAGCTGTGATGAAAACAGGCTTCTGATTTTTCCTAGAGGTCTATCAAGGGAGATGTTCTTAGGGAGGTGTTCAAGTATCAGACTTTCTGACCTCATGGTATGGCTTAGATTTTAAGCAAAGGGTGGGAAATCTCTACCCCTCAAGCTGCGTATAGCTCACAGAGCTTCCCCCATTATCCTCAGAAACTTCTGTTCTTGTCTCCAAGCTCAGATCAAGCCAACTGTCTATCTAGTTTTTCACTCTCTCACACACTAACTGATCCAAGCACTTTCAGAGAAGCCCACAAGCAAGTCACAAAGGCAACTTCCTTCCCTCTAATGTCTCCCTCCTGTCACGTCTTACCTTGGAGGCAAAACTTAAGTGATTGTGACTAAAACAAATAAATGCACCTGATAAATTCATAAACAAACAAATAAATAAGTGCCATTGACAGAAAGCTCTTCATCTCTGCCTTTTAAAGCTTATGAAAATGGTGCTAGCACCACATCTTGTGGCAGTGAGTTCCATGCATGAGTTACATAAGACATAAAGAAGCTCCTTTTTAGAAACTGAAATCTGCTGAACCAGTTTCCTTTGGTGGCATGCAGACAGACACCGTTCTAATGTTAGGCAAAAGGGCCTGCTTTCTCTCTCCACTTCGTGCATACTCTGTAAGTACAGTGGTGCTTCGCTAGACAATGATAATCCATTCCACTGAAATTGCTGTTTAGCAAAATCATCGTCTAGAGAAAAGCATTTCCACATTGGAATACATTGAAACCCATTTAATGCATTCCAATGGGGAAGAATCATCGTTGTCTAGCGAAGATTGGTCATAGGAAAGCTGCTCTGCGAAGTGCCAATCAGCTGTTTAAATAGCTGTCATGTGAAGCTTAGGTCCCAAAAACACCCGTTTTGTGAGCACGGAGGGCGCTGCCAAAATTGTCATCTAGCGAAAATTGGTTCGCGAAGCAGGGACCAAACATTGTTCAGCGAAATTCCCCCATAGGAATCACTGTTTTGCGAATTGCTATAGCGATCGCAAAAAGTCAATGTCTAGCGAAAAAACTGTCATGCGGGGTAACTGTCTAGAGAGGCACCACTATATCCATAAACTCCTATCACATCTCTCCCCACCTGAGTTGTCTTTCTCATCAAACAAAACAAAAAAGTTCCAGGCATTCAAGGCTTCCCTTCTCAGAAAACTATTCCATTCTCTTGGTCATTTTTGTTGCCCTTTTCTATACACCTCATCCAATTCTGAGACACCTTTTTTTCGGAAGGAACAAGTAGAAGTGTGTAGCGGTGTATCCCCAAACACAGCAATGTCATAAACATACTGTAAAAAGCAAAAGCAATGCTGGCTATGGCAGTACAAATACAATTGGTGAATGGGTGGTGAGCCATGCTACTGGCTGCTGGACAAGCAGGCTTCTGCTCAGTAAATCAGAGAGTCCCACTATATGCTACAAACACTTCTGTTTGCAACAAACTGTACAGTGCTACTGCTGACAGCAATTTGCAAATAGCAATAACAATGGCAACAATCCATCTCAGCTGTCATAAAGAGGAAAAGACAAGCACATTCATTTCTCCTTGTTCAGTTTAAAAACACTAGTTCTGATCAGTTCCTCCACTGCACCACTTTAAGTAAACTTCAACCCTTTCACAATTGGAGCATTTTTTTTGCAGACTGTGAACTTTGCATATATCATCACAAATAAAAAAGATTACTTTTTAATTAATGCTCCTTCAGTCCAAACAATTTAATCTCTTTTTTTAAATGAAAAGAAATGCCAACACCCCCACACATTGCAGAGGTTCAAATGGAAGAAAGCCGATCCATGGAACAAGCACTGGTCAAATGTCCAAAAGTGATCCAGTTGCTCAATGGGTCAACAGCTGAAGCCGATGATGTGGTTTCACTCCCCAAACGGCATGCAGTCTCATCTAAAGCAGCAGCTCCTGGGAGGAGTAGCAAAACATTTCAACCTAATAAGAAACAAATCTACCTGCCATGACTCAGCTTCCAGATAACTTCACCTGGATGACTGGGAATCTTCACAGATATCTCATCTAAAGTTTTATCTCGTTTATTCCCTTCTGTCCTTGCAGTATTAAAAAGAAATAAAGGCTCTGATGCCCCTGGTAAAATGCAGGGCAACATTTAGGTGCAACCACATAAAATGCAATGCACTGTGTAAAGCAATCACATATTCCAACCAATGCCTCTCCTCCATTGGGTAAAACAGAATTTACTTCCACGTACCTGGGGTACAAACCACAGCCAAGACAGCCTGAAAGAAATCTCGAAACTCCTAGGCATGGAATGCAAGTTCACTAACCAAAACCACAACACAGCAAAGAGGCACACATATCTATTATATCCTAGGGTGGCGTGTAAGTGCTGCAACTTTGCACGCCTGAAGCAGTCATTCAGTGACCAAACTCCACTGGCAGAGCTTTCGTGACACCAGGCAAGCGTTTTAACATTCAGTTCTGGTGATGCCCGTCTTCCTCTCCAAGGTCTTCTCCAGGGACGAGATGCAGCGCTCTCGACCCGAACCTGTCAATCAACCGTCTGAAAAAGCCCACGCCTGGAAAAAACAAAACAAAACCCTGCATTTGGGCGGAGAGGGCGCAGCGAGAGACGATGCTGCCGAGAGGGGAACTAATCCGCTACAAACAACCAATCAGAGTACCACGGGTCCCGACAAGATGAGGAGTGCGATTCGATACGCCGGTACTCAGCAGCATCTCCGTCTGCGCGAAGCAGGACTTTTTCCGCGGGAACGTTCTCCGGGATCGCAGCCTCCTCGCGCCACGGGGACCCGCGCTCGGCACACGAGAGGCTGCCTGGGCGCGCAATTAGAGTCGTTTCGGGGGCTAGCAAAAAATAAAATAAAAAAATAAAAAAATCTCCCCCACCCCAAAGGCATTCGCCTCCATCAGGGCCTGATCCTCTGTCGACCTGCCCCCAAAGGTTATGTTGGGTTGTCC